TCAACCCTAGGTCAATTGACTGACTTAAGAGGGCATTCAAGTCTATTGGAGAGATGTGGGGTTCATAATTTGACATGGAGAAGAAGGATATGGAGATATGACAAGGAGAATTCAAGAGAAATCAAGGAGAAGAGGAGTTACTAAATTAGGGTTTCTCTGTAAAATCCCCTAGTTTAGGTCAAATTTCCAAGCAAGATGAGTCAAAATGCTAGCTTCAAATGGCTTCTTGGCCAACATGAAACTTGTAGAGGATCTCAAGACCTTTAATTTGAGTGGTGGAAGACCTCAAGGAGATTTATAGAACTCAAGTTATGGTCCTTGCAAGTTACAGGTCATCTGGGGTGTCTGAATTTTTGTCTGTGAAAGTGACTTGACTTCCAAGCTAGTTTTGCCCCTCAAGGAGATTTCAAATGAATTCTTGGTCAACATAAGAGTTGTTCCTCATTGTCTTAGCTTTCTAGAATGGTATGGAATGCCTTCATATGATGTGGAGAACTCAACTTATAGTCTTGACAAGCAAAGGGTATTTTGGGCATTTGTGAATTACAGGTCATTTTAACCTATGTCCAAAACTCATACAAGGAGGCCTCAAATGGAAAAACTTACAACATCAAACTTGCTCCAAATGGGATTTTAAGTCTAGAAAGAAGGTCACAAGTTATTGGATAAGCTCATAGCATGATGTTACATAATTGGTCAAAATATGAACTAAAAAGGCTTATAAAGTGAATGATTTCAAGTTGGAAAATGGTTTGGGAGATTTACAAGTCCAAATGGAGACTTCCAATATATGATTTTGAATGGAAAAACAATTCTAAGAACAATGGTTCACACACTTTTTTGAGTTTAGAAGGAAAAAATGAAGTTATCCATGGTTGCTTACCTTTTAAGAAACATGATCAAAATGAACCAAAGTTGGAAAGCAAGGGAATGTGCAAGATGGATCTAGAATGTTCATTTGGGGTCTATATATTCATGAAATGTGCATTGATCAAGGGTTGGCCTCATTTGCACCAAGAATTTCACAAGATTTCTCATTCTTTTCATTGAAGTTTCATTGCAATTCTCACAAATTCTTCATCAAATCTTCATCATAATCAACCTTCTCATACTGATTCATCACCATATAGTATAATTCAATCAAGAACAAGGTGGTTATCATCCATTTTCGAGCACTTTTTTCAAGAGCATCAAGATTGAAGTTGCAAGTGGACAGCATAATTCAAGCAAGGAATCACCAAAACACTGCATACAGAATCAATGCCTGAGTAATTTGATCAAGATTCAAGCCTTAGAAGCCTCAGATCCTCAATCTCCATAGCTGTTTTCAAGTTTTTGCACCAGGTGAGTTTTCAATCACACAGCTCGATTCAGTTAGTTAGGCATGTTGTTGTTAGTTTAGAGATGATCTAGGTGGTTAGGAGATTAGTTTAGATGAATTTGGAGTGATTTGGAGTCCATTGTTAGCAGGTACCATAAGCTGTTTGGACCAATATCTCTTAGGTTAATGCATTAGGATGTTAGTTGGATTGATCAGGTTAATCACCATGATGCATAGAGCAGTTTAGGATAGGTTTGAGGGAGAATTATCATGGTGCATCTCAGAGTAATCTCATGATAACCAGAGTTTGCTGCGCGCGGGTTTGGTGTTGTGGTGAGTTTCAAATTGATCTAAGGCCATAGGATTATAGAGGAAGAAATTCTGAGCAGCTTTCATGTTTATGGCATGTGGATTCATGGTCTGGTGATGGAGAACCGAGAGCTCGAATTGGAGCGTGCATGGAGGTTCATGGAAGATGAAACCCTAAGTTTCAGGTCCAAGTGAGGAAGATATAATCTGGATCGTCTATCTTGCGTAAGACCTTTGACCTGGAGGAAGATCCTAGGGCTAGTATTCAATTCAGAGTTTGGAGGGAACTGACCTGGGTGCCAAAACGCACCGTTTCATTAATTGAAACGGGCGGGCCTCAGGATTTTATGCTATCCCCACCCCCAAAGTGTTAGGCCCAAACCATTTCAATGTGATTTCTCTGCTTCTCTCACCCCCCAGCGCCTTTCTATTGTTTTTTTTAATTCAGAGTGATATTGGGCTTAAGCCAGAAGCGCTACCAGCACCCCCCTTTATGAGGCCCATCCTGAATTGAACTGGGCGTGATTACTCTTCATACCCCCTCTCCCTCATTTAATTCATTTTATTTGTTTTAATTCCATTTTAATTTTTCACCATCTTTGAAAATTCATAAATAATTCATAAAAAATGCTTTTTAATCCATTCTTTTTACCATATTTTCATTAAAATGTCTAGAATATTATAGGAAAATAAATTTTCATTTTTAGTTTTATTTCATATTTTTTACATATTTTCTAAATAAATGTCACATTAAATAATTCATTTCATGCATCATTTTTATGATTTTTGTTCTCTCACATGCTTTGATATTTTTTGATCATTCTTTTCATATTGTTTAGATGAGATATTAGGCTTGTAGAAATATTTTAGTTCCCATTTTTAGGAGTTAATTTTAGGTGATTAATAAATGCTTGAATATCATGTACAAAACTAGGGTTTAGGTGACAACTTAGGAAGTTCCATTTTCTCCCTTAGGACTTAGGGTTTGAATAGGTTAGTTATGGGACTATAGGGGCTATGGGTAGTTATCAGATCCCTTAGAGAACAGTTAGGATTCCCCTACTGCTATTATTACTGTCTGTATATCTGTTGTTTGGTGTGGTGTGCCCTCTGGGGTTTATTGATTGTTTGTATGGGTATTGGGTTTGTCTGGGGCCCTGGGGAAGCTGAAGATTTATGGAGATGAAGCCTATTGGAGATTCAAGGATTGAAGATCAACTGTCAGAATTGAGGAGGAGTTTCTTGCTAGCAGATGCTGAGGAGATTAGGGTTTAGGAGTTAGGCAGAGCCCTAGAGTAGAAATTTTGTTTCTCAAACATGGATTGCCTTGTCTGCATCCATTCTTCTCTGTGATTCAGAGTCTCTCTAATACACTCACCCCCTTCCTTTGGAAGGCTTGGTGACAGTGTCTATGAGATAGAACTCTTGAGAGAAAATGTCTCCTTGTGTTAGAAGCAGTTTGTTCACCACCTTTGGTAGTCAGCTGATTGCTTAACACTCAATTCACTCTTGTGACTAATCCCTCATCCTGGAGGTTTGAGCATGAAGAAAAACCATTGCAGATGGAAGACTGATGATCAAAGCCCTTGTCTGAAGGCCATGAAGATGGAGATTGATGCTGGTTGAAGCCTGTAGCTGATTGGAGATTGTTTGAAACCAGTTGCTGATTCAGAGCTGCTGATGCTGTTTCTTTTGCTGTATTTCATTTGCTAATGTATTGATTGGTTTTCTGAACTGTATTGTTTGCTGTTTACCCTGTTGGGTTGAAAGTGAAGTCTGTTCACTTTCGCCTATTGTTTTCTAGGTTCGAGGTTGAGTGGGACTCCCTTGCCTCGCTTGTGCTGTTGCATCCATGCATTTTGCTGCTTTACTGTATATATCTGTTATTGTTTCTGTTTCTGCCTATCCCGTAGGATCTCTGTTTCTCTCTGTGCAAGAGAGGAGCATGATAGACACTAGGTCTTAACCCATGCATGATAACATTAGGTTAGTTTGTTTCCCTTTCGCAACCGTAGGTTAGAGTTCCGTCTCTTTCTTTCTCAAAACAAATAGAAAAACACATAAAGATTTCAAACACAATAAAAGACACTTCTTCCGTAAAAGAATGTGAACTCACCAAAACGTCATTTTTGTCCGCTTGGACCGCTAATCAGAAAACCTTTTTTAGAAGGAATAAAATCAACCAAGACAAGCTTGTGTCGTACGTGGCCCGAACTACGTTTGCTCTGATCTTTCATGCTGTATGAAAGTACGTAGGCATAGGATGCGATATCCTAGCGAGCAACCTTCCCCTCCTTTCCAGTAGGTAGGCGAACTACGTTGACTCTGATTTCTCGTTCCAGGCGGGAATACGTAGGCATAAAGTGCGATACTTTGCCGAGTCATTTTTATTTTCATTTTATTTTCTTTTTAACCCTCGACCTATAGTTTAGATAGAATAACAATCCATACCCGAAAACAAGCGTGGATCCCGTCGAGTACGACGGACGTGAGGGGTGCTAATACCTTCCCCTTGCGTAACCGACTCCCGAACCCAGGTTTTGGTTGCGATGACCATACCTTTCCCGTGTTGTGCGAGGTTTACTCTGAGCGTTTCCTTTCCCTCCCGTGGGATAAATAACGCGCGGTGGCGACTCTTCTGTTCAGCCGGCGCCGATTTTCGCAGTAGCGACAATTTGCCTTCACACATGATACATTCCAAAGCAGTCCAGTTGACCATATCATAGGCTCTTTGCAGATCAATTTGCAACATAATTCTAGGTGTGCCCCCTTTTCTGGTGTAACCCTTAAGGAGCTCAGCTGCAAGCATGATGTGATTATGAATGTTTTGGCCTAGCACGAAAGCTACCTGGTTTTGGCTAACCACACGAAAGCTGCCAAGTCTTTCAGTCAAAATCTTGGAGATGATTTTGTAAAAAGTTGTACACATTTCTATAGGTCTATAATCTTTTATTTCACAAGCATTATGGTCTTTAGGGATCAGAGAGACGACAACAACGTTGAAGGCCTTGTAAATTCTACATGTTTCAAAGAACTCTTGTACTGCTGCAATCACATCAGTTCTTATAGTGTTCCAACTGGCTTTGAAGAATTTGGCACCATAACCAACCATCCCTGGGGTTTTTAGGTCTCCTATCCCTTTAAGGGCTTTGGTGATGTCAGCTTCAGAAATGGTTCTGGTGAGGTAATTTCTTTGGTCCAGGTTCAGCTGCTTTCCCATTCTCATGGCTTCCACATCAATGTGGTCAAAGCTGCTAACATCCTTGCCCATTAGGTTTCTGTAGAAATTAATCACTTCCTCCTTAATTTCTGTTTTGGTAGAAATCAGCTTGCCATCACTGTTCCTAAGGTTGGTAAGGCAGTTGGAATGTTATCTGCTTTTGATAGCAGCATAAAAATAATGGTTGTTTCCATCTCCTTGTTTAATCCAGTCAATTTTCGCCCTTTGCTGAAGAATTTTCCATTCCATATCATTCATGGAAATCACTTCCTCTGTCAGCTTTTTTGTTTCCTCAATCAGAGTGTTGTTCAATCTGTCCTCATTCAGCTTCCCTTGAGTTTCTTTAAGCTTTTCCCTAGCTGCTATCAGCTTGTTCTTAATATCAGACAGAGGTTTACTGAGCTGTTTTAGATCATGTTTCAGTTTCCTGAGTTTATGCCACAGAACATACATTGGGCTGCCCCTGATATGAGCATCCCAGTTCTTCTTTATCACAGTCTCATAGCCTGGCAAATCAATAATGCAGTTGCTAAACATGAAGTGTTTGGGAGGTTTCCTCTGCATATGTTTATCCTCCAGATAAAGCATGGCATGATCAAAGATACTAGGTGGGAGGATTTCCAGCATATTCTCCATATTGTTGAGAAACCAATCAGTATTACCCAAAATTCTGTCAATCCTAGAGTAGATTGGTCCAGCTGCTTGTTTGTTGGACCATGTGAAATTGTCACCAATGCTATCCATTTCACTCAGCCATGTATTTCCCATCATGTGTTGCAAATCTTCATACTCCTTTTCAGTCACTAGATTACCTCTTATTCTGTCCTGGGCTTTGGTTACATTATTGTAATCTCCAACAGCACACCAAGGACCGTGGATGTTGGCAGACATGTGTTCTATCTCTTTCCAAAGGATTCTTCTCTTGTTGATTTGGTTGTAAGCATATATAGCAGTTAACCAATATTTGAAGCCTCCAATGTTATCATAGACACCATAGTGTATATATTGGCTGCTGCTTTGAAGGAATCTCACATCCACCCTGCTGCTATCCCAGTGAATCCAAATTCTACCATTAGTATGGCCTTTATAGTTATCAATGTGCTTATCATATATCATCAGTTTCTCACGAATGGCCTTGGCTTTTGCTTCTTTAACTCTAGGTTCAATTAAAATAATAATAGCAGGCTTAAGCTCTTGGAGACGGGACCTAATCTCACGATTTTTGCCTACTTTATTGAGTCCCCTTATGTTCCATGAGACTAACATGGTTCAAGGTTTATTGCCCCTTGGTGGTCATTCATAACCTCAAGAGCTTCAAAACCATTGTTACAGCTGATGTTTCTGTTAGTATCAATAACTATGCTCTTACCTTTATCTCTTACAGATTTTGTCTCCCTTTTCCATGATTCACTTACTTGCCCTGTTGCTTCCTATTTTCCTGATTGTTTGGAGGGCGTGATGTTCTTGGATGCTTCAGGTGGCTTGGGTTTTGGTTTCCATTGTTGAGTCTGCCGCCGGTCTTCACATGTATGCCCCAGTTTTTGACAAGTTTTGCAGAAAGTTGGCCTCCATTCTTATTTCACAGGCTGCGTTATCACATCTCCCTCAACATTTCTTATGGCTATTTCGTCACTCAATTGTTGTGTAATGTCCACTTCAATCAGTAGCCTTGCATAAGATACACGGAGCCTGTTCGCCGTGCATTCATCAGTCACCAAGGGTTTACCTATGGCACTACCAATCTTGCTCAGACTTTTTGCTCCCCATAGTTGCAAGGGAAGTTGGGGGAGTTTTACCCAAATTGGTAGCGTTCTTAGCAGGTCTCTCTTTAGGTTGAACCATGTTTTCCATTCCTCCAGTATCATGGGCATATTTTGAATCGTGTACGGACCTTTCATCATCACGGTTTCCTTGTCTTTTTGGGAATTGAATCTGAGCAGAAAATACCCGTCGTCGTGATAATACAGATCTGGTATTCTCACAAAATTCCACATTCTCTGCATGAAATTCTTCACCATGTTCATACTCAAATCACCTCCTACGACATAGAGAATTAGGGCATTATCCCAGAAGTGTATTTCTGTTTCGATATCTTCTTGTTCAATATCAATCTCAATCATTCCGTTGACTACTTTTGGTGCGACGTATTCCATTGTCAATCCCTTGGAAGGATTCCGATTGTCATTAATAATGTCCACCCATAGTTTTCGATCCTCCGGTTGAGCTTGTGTCGTTTCTATTCGGGGTTCTCTAGTTGCATCTTCGATTGTGGTTGTCGTTTCTTTCTCAGCTGTGGTTGTCGTCTCTTTCTCAACTTTTGGTCCAGACTCAGGCGCCTTCGAGCTAGAGTCAGATGGCATTGTAGTTCATGAAACATTCTGAGGAGTCTTCAAACTGGCAGTTGATCCCGATGGTGGGGACGGGAGCACCGTGGTTTTCGGACGCCCTCGCCCTTTCTTCATCTTTTTAAATTTATCTGTTATATTTTCTAAACAGAAGAATTATTCAACGTAACTACATTTAAATGGGAAAAAAAATCAACAAATGCAATTGGCTCCACCTAATGTTGTGTCAACAAAAACAAACAAAAAAAGGATCTGAGGCCGAAGAAATAAAAAGGAAATGCGAGAGTCATAAAAAAGAGAAATAATAATAATAAATGACGTATTCTTTCTTCTTTGTTCTTTGTTCCTTGTTCCACGATAATCACAAATTTTCTTCCTTCTATATATATATATATATATATATATATATATATATATATATATATATATATATATATATATATATATATATATATATATATATATATATATATATATATATATATATATATATATATATATATATATATATATATATATATATATATATATATATATATATATATCCATATTCTTTCATTTGATAATTAAGCATCTAAAAATATGAGATAAGTCAGAAAAATAAACTACTTCATTTTTTTTACCTCAGAGATGTTGAACACATCAAATTGCTCTAAATTATCAAAAAAAATTAATACAAATTTTTCTTGTCTAATCTAGATTCAAAATTTGATGAGTTGTGTTGAATTTTTCTATTAAATAATTATACCTTTAACCTTACCGCACTCAATTCTTCTAACATCACGCAATTGAACAACTCCATGTATTTTCCCAATTTTGTCATGTTACATGAGATAACCTTTAAATAAAAGAAATAAAAATTAAAGAAAATTAAAGTTAAATTAGATAAAATTAAAGAAGTTGTTACAAACATACCAAATATCAATAGTAGTTTCCAATATCCTCATGTCCACCATTTATCTCGACTTCCTTCTCTCTTTTCTCTTTTGTTCTTGATGAATGTTTTCTACAATTAGATTAAATGACATAGAAGTTGAATATCTTTCTTTTCTTTATCTTAGTTCTCTTTTCTTTCTCTCTTTCATTCTCTTTCTTCTTAAATAAATGGGTTAAATGGGAATAGAAAGTTATTATTTTAATATAACCGTAAAATAGTTTTTACTCATTGATACATTTTCTATGGCCTTTTGATACTGCAAGTTTTTTAAAGTAATTTTAATATAAAAAAATTAAAATGTGAGATGTTAGAAGTTTTTTAACCGTCTATGTAGTTGATTTTTGTAAAGGGTGTTAAATGGAATAATAGTGTGAATTATTGGACAAAATTGGAAAATAAAAAAAGCTACACCAAAACAATGTATTGGCTTTATATATTGTTATAGATTAATACTATATTATATTATTATATAATTTAATAATGCATACATAGAAGAGATACTGCTATTAATGAATCATGATAGCTCTACAAATAATCAATATATTAGTATATTCTTTTATTAAAAGAAAAAAGTTAAACCAATTATCTATAACTATATATAAAGAGGATAAGTGTTTTTGGTGTGACCATTTTTTCTTCCAAAATTATCCTCAAGTAACTTCTCTTTTCCCACCAAAGAAAACATGAGTGGAGCGGTTGAGCAGTGAAACAGTTACTGTTTTTATTTGCTTTCAAATTTCCATTAATTACACACGTACATACCACAATTCAAAGATGCATATTTGTTCTTATATGATGAACACAACAGACAAAAAGGAAAAGCTTGACGGAGAATAAACGAAGAAAAACACCATATATCTAATTATATAACTTCTCTTTAATATTTCCTTTTCACTATATAGTCTTTTAATTCTTTCAATTTATATTTTAGTCACTCGATTGATTCATATAATATTTGACAAAGTATCTTCTCTCTCTGAATATTATCCTTATGTGAATGTAATAAGAGACAAACTATTTTAACTTTGATTTCTAATTTTATTTTCATCGTGGGTTAAAACCACCATCACAAAATTATTACACGGTTATATAACTTCTATGCAATTAATTTTTAATTCACTTTTATTATTTAGAGGACATTAATGTATGTTTGACAGAATCACAACAGCGGTTCACACACACCATCATAAAAATGAGGGGCTACGTCAGATGAAAGAATACATCTTCCATATTTTCACAACTTCTTTAATTTGTTCTTATGAGTGTTTTTTTATATTTGCAGGTTGTACACCAACTAAAGATAAAATTTAAATATATCCTTACTGTTTTAATTATTCATTTTCACCTAAATTATAATGCAAACATTTTATTCAATTTCATCTTTAAATTATAATGCATGCATTATATTTTTTCTATTGCTTTACATATATAACATTTGGAACCATGTTGTATCAAACTCTATTAATAGATATTTACGATGATCTACGTTAAAAGAAGGATCAGTTCATTATATTTATAAGAAGTTAGTTCATCCTAAATTTCATCTATTCCTTTTACTCTTCTACTATTTTATTTACATAATTTTGATATTTATGTTCTTCTCCAATTTTTCTATAAAATTGAAAGTTAAAAATGATTTTATATGTTGTTCGTAATACCTTTCTTTCATGCTAAATACTAATAGTAGTCTAAATTATGGACACTCTGTAAACTTTCAAAAGTTTGCGTTAATGTTATTATAAAAGGCTTTTTGTTTTAATAATGTTTTCTATTTGATTTTTGATGATAGATTTTTATTTTCTACTTGAAGATCCAAAAATTATGATTCTTAGCAATTTTTTTTCATTTGCACAATCATTTTTTGTTTTGATTTCATTAACAAAAGGAAAAATAGACACCAAAAACATAATGATATCATTTTATTTACATAATAATTATGTCCTCTATAATTTATGTTTGTCTTTGTTATATCAATAAATATGTGTTTATAATTGTTTATTGCCTAAATGCTGTTTTAATACTCTCCTTCTTAAAATGAATGATTCAGTTGATTATTTTACACAATATAAAAAGTGAATAATTGAAAGAGAGAGAATCATCACATATTTTATCATATAAATACTTTATATAAGGATTGTTGACGTGGATATAAGACGTGTTAAAACAAATCCAAGTGGAACTTGCTTTTCATTACCCAGGATATCAAAGGATTGTAGGTACATTATGGTAAGTGCAAGGGATTGAAGCGACGTATTGAGGGTGCAAAAGATTGTTGCTGAAGCGAAGGATTGAAGACAATCCAAAGAGTGTTTATCAAAAGGTTAGTTCGTTTCTATTTGATTTTGAGTTTACAAATCTCATAGGGCAATATCTGGTTATATGCAAATTTAGGGTTTATGTAAATTTTTTAGTATAGACTCTAGTTATTTAGATAATATGATTAGGTATCATGGATGAACACATAAATCTCAAAATTCATCATAGTGGTGAATTCACTGATGAAGGTCTTAATATATATGAGAATAGAGTAGTAGATGATTTGAGAGTAGATGTAGACAAATAAAGTTATTTTGATTAGAAAGTTTAATGAGAAAGATAGAGATAAAGATATATATATATATATATATATATATATATATATATATATATATATATATATATATATATATATATATATATATATATATATATATATATATATATATATATATATATATATATATATATATATATATATATATATATATATATATATATATATATATATATATATATATATATATATATATATATATATATATATATATATATATATAGATATAGATATAGATAGATAGAGAGAGAGAGAGAGATATTAGAAAGAGAAATACAAAGTTTATTATACAAATAGTTTAAATTAAAATCATAATTAAATAAAAAATATCGGATTATTAGGGCCCCTTTCCCCTAGTAACCAGAAGTGAAAAACCAAAAAAAAAATCAAACTTACGGAAAAAATATTGTTAATATTTTCAAACGTTAACACAATTGAAAAAGCGGACATGCAATGTTTATCGCAAAGTTTACACATAAAAATATCAGTTTATACATTAACCCTTGTGCGTACTAAAAAAGCGAACAAACGGACACGGAAATGCCCGTTTGAACGCTAGGGGTTTGGGTTCTGTCGTGGACGTATGGAAAGGATAAGCTCAAATCTTATAATGTGTAACCATGCGAGAAGATTCAATTACGAAAAAATAAACCAACAACTAAATTGACAAGAAACAAAACATAAACGAGTAAACTCTATGAGGTAGAGAAAACTTTAAGAGTGTCACATAATTTGATAAAGATGGACATAATATATAGTTAATTCACTAAAGTATTTTTAGTATATATATATATACATTTATCATCCTGATTTTAAGATTGCTTGAGGATATCTAAAAACATTATTTTTAATTAATCTTAAGTATGATAAAAATTTCATACAAAATATACACACGTTTATTTTCCTATGTTGTGCGCATTAAAATGCCCGTCTGAACGCTAGTTTACAATAATGTCATTAATAAAAAGTGGTTCTTTTTTCTGTATTTTTGCGTTTTAAAAATATGCAGAAGAATGATGAAAATTGAAAAGCAAAACACAAGTTAGGAGTTTTGGTTCTTCAATTTTAAAAACAGCAAAAGTTGAAACAGTTGTACAAAACAAGTTTTAAAAAATACAAGCCAAACAACTTTTTTAGTTTTTAAATTTTTGAAAAGCAAAAAACAGTTTTTAAAAAGTCAATCTTCCCATCTTTTTTCCTAAAAGCACTTTTTGCTTCTTATTCTAAGTCACATTTTACCAAAGAAATTACCAAGTCTTTTAACTAGAAGCATGAATTTTTCCTCTTCCTCCAGTGCATCACATCTTGATCTTCTTTTGAATCTACTTTCAAAGCGATGCTTTGGATTTCTTCTCTTGGTTCTCATGCTTTTCAAGTCTTCCAAGTTCAAGTTCATGTTCCTGGAATTCTTCAAATAATGATGCGGATGTCATGGTAGAAAACTTTTCTTTTCTGATATTACCGTCACTTTTGGTTGTCATTCTCTAGTCAAGGATCTTAGTACTTTAAGATTCAATTTATCATTAGAAAATGTTTTACCAACAGCAATCAAGTGATTTGTTAAATGTACGAATCTTTTCTGCAAAG